CCAGGATTCTTCAGTATTTTACTCCATGCTGCCGTCGCTGTGTTTCCATGGCGATGAGCAGTGTTATTTTCCAACTAATCAGAGCACCTTCTTGGTGTTTCCTTAGTTAAGGGGCTTTAGAATAGGTGAGAAGAACTAAGGGAAACCTCAGAGAACAGAGTATGGTGAACCTTCCCCTTTCTTCTCACCGTCGTATCGAGTCGTAAAACGGGAGTGTTCCAGGGGGTGTGAATACTTTACAAGGCACTGTATCAGACACGTCAGAGGCGCCTCCTCTGCTCTCATTTCAGTGACCGGAACTTAATCTGCGTGTTAGCCTTCCTGTTTTTCACTCGCTCCATCTCTCTCCTCCAGGACTCGGACTCGCCCCGCCACTCCACCGCCTCCAACAGCTCCACCTTCAGCGGCCCTCCCAGTCCGGCATCCCCACACAAGACCAAGTCCCTGTCCCTGGAGAGCACAGAAAGGAGTTGCTGGGACACATGAGTCCTCCCACCCCCCCACCCTCTTTAACTTTTTACCCATCAGGACTCCTTACCCTCCCCCCACCCACCCACACACGCACCCACCCTCCCCTCCACTGCCCAGAGAACTGCACCTCCCATCCGCCGCTCCCTCCTGATTGGACGGAACCCCGACGACTGAGGGCCTCTAATAAGGTGGTGCTGATGCTCGATGGTGCGGATGACTTTATGAGGGATCAGCTTTGCTCTGTGCAGATCAACCTCCCCCCCCCCCCCCCCCCCCCCCCCTCCCCATACAGATTCACATAGAGACGCAAAACTTTACGATGCAAAGGAAAAAGGAAGCGGATTACTCATGAGGAAATGATTTGTACCTGTACATAGGACCAGCTGGGTTTCAGGGGACAGTTTTAATTTATTTATCGATCTTAGACAGGAGGGGATAGGTTTGCCTCGGCGTGATGGGAAGCAAACATTTCCATCCGTCGCCTATTTTTTTTTTCTTTTCGGGTGCAGATTTAAAGAAAAAAAGAAATGTGAGAAAGAAAAGGAATAAGTTTTAGTTTCCTCTAATTATAAGTGCAGTGACTTTATATATTTTTCTTAATAATTATCATTTTGAGCATTAGCAAAAAAACAAAAGAAACGCTCTCATGACATCAAAACTCCTACTGTGCTCTTCTCTTCCTCATGGGTTCGTCCAGGAAGGCCTCCTCCGCCGTAGCGTAGACGTTCCACTTTGCTGTGCAACCAAACTGACCAACTCACTGACTCCCATCGCCATGATGTATATAGGTTCAAAGTAGAGAGTAATATATGATAAGGAAAATACTATAGAGAACTACAGGGGAGAGAGCGAAGAAATCCTGATTTTGGTTTTCTGTTTTTGAGTGATTTGAGTTTATATTCTCACAAAAAAAGCCATTTTTTAAAACCACTTTGTGTTTTTTTTCCTTTTTAAATCAGTTAGTTTTACAAGTTTGTTTTACAGTTACATACGACACGTGTTTGGCTTGTTTTATTTTTTTCCCCCTATTGGTTTGCATGGAGTGAAGCAGCTCTTCACAGACCGACACTACTGCTCTAATTAGTCTAGTGCAAACGTGTGTTTCTCACCAACCTGCTATCACGTGTGTCTCCTACACTGAGGTGGCGTTTTTATGCAGCAGGCGCCTCGTTCCTGCGCCTCCTCTGGTCTTCAGATCTCCTGCGGTACCAGGATGGAACGGGTCGGGGTCCCTCTACTGACGGATAAGCTCTATTTAACCAAAAAAACGGACAAGAGGGACACTTGTTGACGTGCTTTCTTTGTCACAGCCTTCGCTTGTTAAGAATGTGCTGATATGTTCATTAAGAAGCTATGGATGAAAAAAAACACACTAAAAAAAGAATGTAAACACTTAATGCCTGCAGGATTGTCAGCACTTGGGTTTCTGGTTGTATGGATGAATGGGCCGAGCGCCGCAAGGTGTCGGTTAGCTAACAGGATCACAGCTCTAAACTCGCTGTCTGCTTGTTTTTTCTTTTCTTTTCTTTATCTGTATTTCCTAAAACTGTTTTACTGGAACTGTTCATTTCAAACCACATGGGAACAACTATTAATGGAGCAGCAACAGACTGGGCATGGGCCAAAATACAGTCTAACACGGTTTATGTTTTTATTTAAACCTGAGAATATTTTTCCTCCTGCTGAAACTCTTTTGGATAAATGAACATCTGCATTTTTTTTAGACAATAAAGATCCACATTGCACGCAATCTTTTCCCTATTTTGTAATTCTGCTGTTAGAGGAATAAAACAAGCTAACATGCTCCGGGTAGTCAGGCTGTTAGCACAGGTAGACTGGATCAGAGTCCTGCTTGGGTTGGATTTTTCAAAACTATCTGCCCGCACCCATAGATTTCAGAACCAAGACCCGCTACCCGCTATTATCCCTATTTAAAACCCGGCTGGGACCGCACGGGCCCATAAATAATGCAACACACAGCAGTTTAATAACAGAGGCACTGAAGAACATTGCCTCATTCTCCCAGATTAACTGTAAATTGGCCAAAGTAAGAAGGTTTGCCTTGTTGCTTATTTTTAAAGAGGTAATAAATAATTTTCATTCATACTGTAACTCTATACCTGGTTCCCGCAGCTGTGAAATAATGTTTTTCTATCTGTAGATGTACTTTTTAGGACTGTGGCCTGGATCTTTATACGCTGGTATTCCTTTAGTGTCCACAGGGTGGCAGTGTTTCTCTGTTGTAATCAGTTTTGGCACTTTTACAGGCTTTTCTTTAAAGGTGTATATACACTATATTGCCAAAAGTATTTGCTCACCCATCCAAATTATTGGAATCAGGTGTTCCAATCACTTCCATGGCCACAGGTGTATAAATTCAAGCACCTAGGCATGCAGACTGTTTTTACAAACATTTGTGAAAGAATGGGTCGCTCTCAGGAGCTCAGTGAATTCCAGCGTGGAACTGTGATAGGATGCCACCTGTGCAACAAATCCAGTCGTGAAATTTCCTCGCTCCTAAATATTCCACAGTCAACTGTCAGCTGTATTATAAGAAAATGGAAGTGTTTGGGAACGACAGCAACTCAGCCACGAAGTGGTAGGCCACGTAAACTGACGGAGCGGGGTCAGCGGATGCTGACGCGCATAGTGCGAAGAGGTCGCCAACTTTCTGCAGAGTCAATCACTACAGACCTCCAAACTTCATGTGGCCTTCAGATTAGCTCAAGAACAGTGCGCAGAGAGCTTCATGGAATGGGTTTCCATGGTCGAGCAGCTGCATCCAAGCCATACATCACCAAGTGCAATGCAAAGCGTCGGATGCAGTGGTGTAAAGCACGCCGCCACTGGACTCTAGAGCAGTGGAGACGCGTTCTCTGGAGTGACGAATCGCGCTTCTCCATCTGGCAATCTGATGGACGGGTCTGGGTTTGGCGGTTGCCAGGAGAACGGTACTTGTCTGACTGCATTGTGCCAAGTGTAAAGTTTGGTGGAGGGGGGATTATGGTGTGAGGTTGTTTTTCAGGAGCTGGGCTTGGCCCCTTAGTTCCAGTGAAAGGAACTCTGAATGCTTCAGCATACCAAGACATTTTGGACAATTCCATGCTCCCAACTTTGTGGGAACAGTTTGGAGCTGGCCCCTTCCTCTTCCAACATGACTGTGCACCAGTGCACAAAGCAAGGTCCATAAAGACATGGATGACAGAGTCTGGTGTGGATGAACTTGACTGGCCTGCACAGAGTCCTGACCTCAACCCGATAGAACACCTTTGGGATGAATTAGAGCGGAGACTGAGAGCCAGGCCTTCTCGTCCAACATCAGTGTGCGACCTCACAAATGCGCTTCTGGAAGAATGGTCAAAAATTCCCATAAACACACTCCTAAACCTTGTGGACAGCCTTCCCAGAAGAGTTGAAGCTGTTCTAGCTGCAAAGGGTGGACCGACGTCATATTGAACCCTATGGATTAGGAACGGGATGTCACTTAAGCTCATATGTGAGTCAAGGCAGGTGAGCAAATACTTTTGGCAATATAGTGTATTTTGTAGTTTTAAACCATTTTTTTTTTTTTTTATACCTTTGACTGGCCCATGCCTGGTTAGGATGTGACGAAGGTTTTATCTTCAGATTTTGGTCTTTCTCTGCAACCATGTTAAGTTAATCCAAGTTAAAGCCCATCAGGATCAGCTCCATATAAGGGAAACAAACATTAAGTGCTTCTGTGGTCATTCCTGCTGCTTTCCCTGTTTAGAACACAACAAACTGACCCTCTATGCCCCCATTCCAAGTGTTTTATTATTTTTTTTTTTACTTTCTGTTGTGATTTGAAGCTCAAAGCTTGTTTCGTTTTAACGATCGGAACCCTTTTCAGCTCTCTGTCGTCTCTGGACCTTGTCTGGTTGAAAAGAGAGGAAGCAAACTTTGTTGGGCTGTTTAAATATAGTTTAAAAACAAAACGGCTGATCCCAGATGTTCTGGAGCAAGGAAGGAAATCTCAGGAAATGTCGGAATCAGTGACTTTAGATGTGGCCGGACGGATGACAAAGGAGTCCAGGTGTGTTGATTGGTGGCAGGTGATCCAATGACGGCAATGCCAGTTTGCTGTGGAGGAAAGTATAAAAGAAATCAAACGCCTTTACATTTCAGTGAGGTCTTATCTACAGTATATTATTTTTGCTCTTTCATATCATATTACACACTTGTTTTTTTTTTCTAGGATTTTTTTGTAATAATTTGTACAGTTTTGCATGTTCTAGATGTAATCATTTTGCTTTTGGTTTGTTGTTTTACTTGCTCCTCTCTGGATGGTTTGGGTGTTTTACTGAGGATAACCCACTACAGATGATGTAGATTCCTTTTTGCACAAAAATATTTAAGGTGTAAGGTCAAAAATAATGTATGGAACTGGCTGCCACGCTGATGTGGAGACTCATATTAACCCGACTCCGATGTATTTCAATAAAGCGGAGGGCTGTTACAAATACACTCCCATGGAGTTATTGTGTGCTGATTTCTTCTCAATACTCTGATTCTTTAAAAAAAACTTTTATTACAAATGAAAAGGACATTTTTACATCTATGAACAATTTAGACGACATGTCAACCTAACATTTCATTTAGCTAAAGTAAGGGCACATTTAAACAAGCTACTTAAGATTTCACTGTACAGGAGGAGTAAAAATAAATCAAAGACGCACACCTCCAAATTGCACCTGTGACTGGTAGTACTGATTCTTTGGAGACCATAAGACATGTTTTTTGAAGCAACTACCTCTTTAATAGTGGTTAATGAGGATGACACACATGCCTCCAAGTTGTGCCCAAGCTCAGCAGTTCTTTTTGCTACAGCAGCTATCAAAAATGTAAACAGACCTAAAATGCCGGTTTGTGATATTAAGATATATCCAAACTATTTTCCACCTAAATGTGAATTTTATGCTAAACATTTTAACTGAAAAATACATTTGGGAAAAAAAGAAAAGCTGCAACCAGTGGCAAACTTTCAATCTGTACTTTGAAAACAATTTGTAGAGATTTCAGGGAGGATCTTCAGAGCATCGTTTCTGTGCCATAGAACCATTAATTAAACTTGGGACGACTGAATCTGTTGCTCGCTAAGGAGCTGCTTGCAGGAGCAGCAGTCTGATCGATTTGGAGAACTCTGGCTACATTTTCCCATTCAGAAGGTGGGATGCTGACAGGAAGATCTTTAAATAAAAAGTGCTTCTATAAACCTTTTTTTCCCAGTTAAATTGTTCAGGATGTTTTGAAATGATTTGACTTGGTCTCCATAAACCCTTGTCTGTAATTCCTTCTAATCTCCGGTTATGGAGTTTAAATTGAGGAGAACAGGTAGCTCCACTGCTCTCCCACAACACTAACAAAAATAGCTTCAAAAAAGTGGGCCCATGAAATATGGGAATGTTTTTCTGTGTGCAGCGCAGTAACGGACGGTTTGGTGTCTGGAGGCTTCTAAGTTTTGGACACCTGAAGGGAAAAAATCCTGCTTTAAATATTGAGGCAAAGCTTCCATTTCACACATCAAATCCTTTTCAGTCTCTACACATACAAAGTAAAAATGAAAAACTTCACATTTTGTTTTTCAGGCTCAGATGTTTAGGTCCAGCTGGAAAGTCTGGTCTCCGTTTCTCTGTAAACTTGGAGACGATCAGCTTGAAGCGTCACTTTTTGGATCGGCTGAGACATTAAGGCAGAGATCCAAATCTACTTCTTTCAGTCAGACTGGATCCGGCGTCTCGTTCCGAGGTCCCAAACTGACCCAGGACAGGCCTCCTTCTCTTCATACATTCTTCATACGGTAGAAACACTGCCCCTCCTGCTCTGACCTCTGACCCTGCCTGGTTAGGACTGTTCCGACAGGCTGCAGGTCGGTTTAGGCCGCCGCTCCATCCTCATCCATCATCCTGTGAATCCCGTTTCCAGGAACGCCAAGCACCGCCTGCGTGACGGCGCTCAGGTCTCTGATGCTGCTGTGCCGTGATTGGCTCTCCAATCGTAGGGTGGAGTCGTGGCGGATCAGGCCGTCCAGTCGGTTGGTGCTGGACTGGTCGCTGAGGCGGGGCATGCTGCCGTAGGCCAGCCGCTCCTCCAACGCCCTGAAGCTGGACGCCGTGTATCTGCCAAGAGGAATGGAGATGAGTTCGCTCCGCAGAGGGAGGCGAGGAAGTGGGGGGGGGGAGGAAAACCCACCTGCCGTCTCTGGAGCGGTGCAGGCTGCCATGGTAACTGCTCATCTTGGAGCGGGCGCTGCGTACCGACTCTGCCCGGCTGGTGCTGGCGCTGGGAGGCTCGTCCAGCATGGCCAGGTGGGTGGAGGAGGCGTGGGTGGAGGTCCCCTGGGTGGACGTGCCCCTGGACTTCCTCACTATGGGGGTGTTGGGGTCCCTGTAGAGCAGCTGGGCAAAGTCGGGCTCCTGGAGAACCTGGCGGCTGTCGTTGACCATCCCACTGCAGCAGGGCGGGGAGGAGGAGGGTAGAGAGGGCAGGGAGAGACGGAGGAGGGTGGGGAGGGAGAGGGGGAAGGTGGAGGGGAGGTGAGGGCGGTAGGAGAGGATGGAGGAGTGGGCGGAGCAGGCAGTGGAACAGGGGGTTAATGCTCTGAGTTTGGACAGGGGAGAGGGCAGAGAAGGGCCCGAGTTCACCAACAAACCAGAACCGACCCAACTCGCCTTCATTTCATGGTTCCGACCACAGATCAAGGCGGTTCCAGGTCACAGCAGACACACAGTGTGGGTGGGGGTGGGTGGGGTACGTACTCTTTGCGCCTCTTGCCGTGGAAGAAGCTGGCCCACTCGAAGCAGGTCTTCTTACTGCCCACCCAGAACACGGAGGGGATCCCCACAATCAGCATCATCAGGTATTTGATGAGGAACAGGGCCAGGTCGGGCCGGCTGGAGCGCTCCACCTGAACACAGCATGGGGGGGTGAGCTGGTCCAACCCAAAGAACCAGGAAAACTATCCCACTCAGCCTGAACTCTGAGGATGGAAGTCCGTCTCATCAGGCTGCAGCTTCAGGCGGGAAAGTTCAACATTTATAAAAGACTATATCAAATTTGAATCCCTTTTGTTCTTTAGATATAAAAAAAAACACACATGATGAAAGGTTATTTTACTACAATAATTTGTGCAGAAGGTTTTTCTTTTTAATCTTTATCAAAAATGATAAAACCTTGAACCTCCAACCTCTTAAAATGATTTATAAAGGTTTGTTCAGCAGGACAGTTAGTCTTGTTATTCCCATAAAAAGCTCTGTGACGTTTCCTCCTGTGTATAAATATCCATGTGCTCCACTTCTTTACTCACTCAACACGCTGCAGGCGCAAACCGCAGCGCTCACACACGCCTGCTCTGATTTCAGCAGACAACTTACTATCCAGACTAAAAATAATAGTTTTCTCTGTAGAAAACTGGATATATTACCGCAGCATGAGTGACACATCTGGCTACTGGGTCAGACGGGGGAAGGAAGCGTACTGCCTCTGCTCCTGTTTCTGTCACACACTGATGAGGTCATTACAGGACGGATCGCCGTGGGGGATAGAGATCCCACCTCAGAGTTTGTCCAGGTGATGGCGGGGTTTATTAAGCTGCAGCTCAGCCTGCTTCCTCACTGTTTGCAGGAGGAGAAACACAGGAAGCCGCTTCTCTCTCTGTAGCAGCACGCCACAAATCTCATCCAGACTCCATCTTTATTTCAATAAAGTAACTGAACGCCGCCGCCTTCATGCTATCAGGGGGAAAACAAAAGTCGCCCTGGGAGGAGCTGTAAGGCGATCCTCGCTGAAAGGAAACAGAGAAGTCAGTCTGAATTATTAACAGCTTCATTATCTCCGCTGCACTGATGCTGGAGGCTGCAGCAGCTGAGTGAGGACGCGCCAACATCAGATCCTATCCGTGCGCCGCTAGCATCCATCCCTTTGATGTGTCTGTGTTCAAACACACCCAGCTGTTACTTCCTGTCCATCAAATAGGCTTCCTTTCACACATCCCAGCTGGACATTTCATGTGTAGGAGCATCTGTGCAAACTGCCACCAACAGTAGAGGGATGAATCAAACATTCAATTAGCAGTATTTTTAGTTTGCAGTGCTTTAGATGGAGATTTAGTGCTTCAGATGGACGTAAAGCTGAAGAAAGTCCCAGAATATAGTTCATAGTCACAGATGTGAACTTTAGCTTGACTAAAATCTGAAGAACTTCTGAATTAGTTCCTGTACCGACCCGGACTCTAAAGCATCCTGCTCCTAAACTAAAGCCAGGCTTACACTGTACAATACTTTGCCCTTTTCGCCTGATCGTGCGTCCTGCATCGGGTAGCGTGATGTAGGGGGGTGATCAGCATCATACGACCCCCTCCCAATCAGGAATGGTGAGGTCAGGAGAAATCAAACATGTTTGATATTCAGTCGGCCATCATGGGCAAATCACTCAGTGGGCAAACAAGGATTCTTCTTCTTCTTCCTCTCAGATGAAAACATAGAAGCATAGCGGGGTGCGAATGAAACTTAGTTCTTTTTGTAACATTGACAGACCGTAGTAACCACTTGGGGTGTAAATAATCTTTTGGAATCGTTGCATCAATTCAACAGCTGACGATGCGATGCGTCGACACGTCCGCAAGAGTATCGACTCTTTTTTTTAATATATAGTTATTCTATAGTGAATGTAGTATAGGCCTATTTGTGTTACTTAATCTGCTAATGCACTTATGCACTCATTGCAGTATTTTTCATGCTAGGTCTTTCAGAATCTATAACACAGAGGTGTTATTAGTTTTCAGTCAATGAGGTTTTCATACAACTTTTCTACTTCTGCTATTTGCTGTTGTTTCTCAAATAAAATGCTTAACGGTATTACAGCTTTTATTGATCTATTTAAAGTTTGAAACATTGTCTAGCCTTTAAGGTAAAAAAAAATAAACCACTTAATTGAATGGAATCATATTGTGGTGTACTCTTGAAAATCGAAAATAATCGAATCGTTGGGTCAGGAAATTGATACTAAGTAGAATCGCCCAGATGGGTGTGATTTACACCCCTAGTAGCATGTTTGCTCAGTCATGTCTTTGTCCAAATATGTCATTTCCTTTTCTTTTTAAAGCTTTCAGCACAAAATCGCACAAATTGCCAAGGCAGCGCGTTTCTCTCTAGTGAGCTTCATATTCTTCTTCTACTCGTGTGGCTACTGGATAGACCAGTCCGAGTAGCGCCATGTCACTGAGTCCGACGTGGTTTTTAGACGTACAGTGTGAGCAGATAGATCACATCAGAGCATCTGGTCACACGTTGTGAGAACAAACATGGTGAGCTGTGAACTCACACTGTATGACGAAACCCTGCAGGGTTTCGTCATACAGTGTGAGTTGTAGCTGCGTCCAACGATTGAGAGAAATGGCAGTGTATGCCCGGCTTAAAGCTAATCCCTTCTGTTTCTCAACTATGCAGGAATGTTGGTAGAAACGCTTCTACTAGAAAACAATATCCAGCTTCACATGACTCCTCTACTCTAATGACTTTATCTGCTCTGTTTGAAAAAAGAATGAGATCTAATGTAATTACCAAACAGAAGCCAGTTTTACTGGGATTTATTTGAAGGTTGGAGCTTTAAAGTCAAAGCTGATGAGATGAAGCTTTGATCAGATTCAACAACCAACAGAATTTACCAGCATTTATTCCACTGTTTTTAAGGTTGCTGGTTATTTCCATCATACAGAGATGGATATCTGATGATATTCAGTCGGGTTTTCACATACGATTACAGATCTGGGCAGAGATCGCTTTCTAAGATCACCTTATAAGGACAGGGGATGTGGTAGTCTCTGCACTTCTCCTGGACCCAGGTGGTCTCCCAGACGGTTCTGTAGCTGCTCTCGTACAGGTAGCAGGCTATGACGGTCAGCAGGGGAACCAGGTAGAGGACGGAGAACACGCCGATACGAATCATGAACTTCACCAGCTTCTCCTGGTTCTCCTTCTCCAGCGGGATCTCCATGCGGACGCGGTTCAGAGCGGCGATACCCGCCAGCAGGAGAACGACACCCACCTGGGGAGAGACGAGCATTGTGGCTTTAAATCCACAGACTGGCATTGCTCTGGCTGGGATTATAAAGACGAAAATATCTGTAAAAACACTCATTTTTAAATAGTTTCTATAAAAAAATTCCGGCTGAACAAATGTGGTAGCTTTCAATCAACACAAACAGGGAGGTGTGTGTCCTCACCAGGACGTCCAGTCCCAGCGGGGCCAGCAGGAACCAACGCAGAGCCGTCAGGTTGTAAAGGCCCACAAAGCAAACGCCGCTCATGCTGTCTCCCTCTATCTTGTTCATGGCGAGCAGGGTGACGGTCAGGACGCCTGGGACGCCCCAGGCACAGGCGTGGAAGAGGAGGGCCTTCTTCTCTATGGCCTCGCTGCCCCATTTAGGAACGGCTGCCAGGAACCAGGTGATGGTTAGGATGACCCACCACACACTACCAGCCATGGTGAAGAAGTACAGCACCATGAAGAGAAGCGTGCAAGCCTGAGACAGACAGAGAAAAACGACTTTCCATTAGCATCTAGAAAAAAAATGACATGGCGGAGCATCAAGTAAATATCTGACCTTATTATGGGAGCCTTGAGTTACTGTGGACGCCCTGAACCGCCCAGGACTGGCTGCGTTACACGAAACTCTGTCCTCCAGCAGGAAGCCAAGGAAGAACACCAAGGACACCATCATGTAGCAGACGGCGTAGAAGATGATGGGCCGCTCCGGGTAGCGGAACCGCGACACGTCGATGAGGAACGTCAGGAAGGTGAAGAGGGTCGCCGACAGGCAGACGATGGACACCACCCCGATGAAGTAGCGGGCGAACGTCAGCTCCTGGCGACTGAAATACATGTTGGGACACGGCGGGGAGCAGTCCCTGACGCCCATGAAGGAGTAGCCCAGCTCGGGGTCGATTTTCAGTTCCCGGGGACACCAGAAGCCGTAATCTCTCTGGATGGAGACGGGGGACTCGGTGGTCTCTGAGCTGGGCAGGAGGTCCACGGGTCGGGGGTAGGGCTCGTCACAGTCTGGGAACCTGAGGGGAGAAGAAGACAGGGAGGTGGATAATTGAACCACCAAACAGCACAGACCAACTGCATTTAAATACATCAAAGATATATTTATCATTGTTTTTCTGCTGCCATGAAACCAAATGTGGAAATAAATGAGATAAAAGTATTATAACAGCTCATCAGGTGGAGTTTCAAAGAATCAAAGAAAGGATGAGGACAGATGGAACGGACTAAAGGAGAACCCTGGGATATTAGAATGGCCTAGTCAAAGCAAAGCAGAAGGAGAAACAGTTTTAGATTTTTAGTCCTTTTGTTAATAAAAACAGACGATGTGGGACAGGAAATCCCTCCAGCTGCCTCTTTAAGCTACTCCACTTCACTGTTGCTCCAACCTGTTGCAGTCCATCTCCTCCGGCCAGCTGACACCAAACATGTCCATCAGTTTGTAGCAGTCGCTCTTGGCCTGCAGGCAGAGACGGCGACAGGGGGACGTCATCTGGCCGTACTCGGTGCACACCGGAGCGTAGACAGCACACAGGAACATCCGGAGGTCTGGGGAGCAATGCAGGTTCACCATGGGATGGAACGGCTGCGTAACGACAGACAGGAGAGGAAGAAGATTTCATTTTAAAAGGCAGAAGAAGAACCCTGTCTCTGGCCTCCATCCTCAGGACCAAAACAAAAGGAGCAGTGAAGCATGATGAGAAACGTTTTCTGGAGATGAGTCCATAAAAACAAGTCTGGCCTCTTTCCTGATAATCCCCCCCGCCCCTCATGTCTCCCCTCCTACCTCCACAGGGCAGACAGGCCCTTTGTGTTGCAGGGAGGACCATGCTGAGGCTGGCTGACACACTCTGACAACATGCATACACTAGCTCACAAGGAGAACTACCAGCGGAAGTGTATTATTTACATGCTAACACACCCACAAAGCTGCACAATAATGCTCTCACACACCGAGATGCTGCTCTAAGAGGCAGTGAGCATCCCGAGCTTTGAATGGATCCATTTGCATCCACCTACATTTGTTTGTTTTGCATCAAGACTTCCAACCACACCCCAGTCAATCACACAGACACAGCATGCACCCTCCCCCAAAGTGTAAAGACAGGAGGCCGGGGGGGCAGAGTGGCTTGTTAGAAGGGATGAGTATTAATCTAGATAAATATTGGCCCTGCTTCCTCTGTGTTCCCTCTGTCATTATTATGTAATGGAACCATCAGATGTCTCCATCTAGACGAGCATCGTCTTCATGATCCACATCTAATTGTACATTTGCAGGATGGAGACAAAAAAAAAAGACTAATTACTTAAAAACTGTAAAAAAGAACAAGAATAGCCTGCAGGTTTCTGTTTCTAAAGCCAAACATACAGTTTCCGTTTGATGAACACTCCCTCACAGATATTTGAATGAAACCAGGAAAAACCAGAAAGCTTCCTTTGAATATTTGATAGAAAGAAAAAAGAATTATACTGATATTCTGGAGGTTTCTGCTGAGATCCGACTATTCTAAAGAAATAATCCATTCCTCAAAGAGCCAACCGCATTACAATAGAGCCACCAGTGGTGGCAGTATGGTGCTGCGGGGCCGTTCTGATGCCAGTGGAAGGACTACCTTTCCAGCTTGAGCTCAAACCAACAGTTAAAAGGTGTAAACTAAGGCTATGTTCACACTGCAAACCTTAATGCTCAATTTGTTTTAGTATCGCCGTTCACATGTCCAAAGATATTCGACTTATACGTGATCTCATGTGTGAATTACATTCATACTGCATGTGCAGTAGAGGACGCAATGACCTCACATCCAGCCTGCTCTGTGTTTATGGAAGTAAACATGGGTGGTAGTGCTGGAGCGCATCTAGCAACTTTCCCAACCTTAAAAACTTAAACTTTTCAAGGTGCTAAAAAAAAAAAAAAGACTGCTCGCAAAAAGACACAGAATAGTGACCTATGTCGGGTACTAATGGCGTTCAGGTCAGATGAATGCGATCTAGCCGTTCAGATTCGTATCGAATTCAAGACCACACAGCCATGTGGCCTGGATCGGATTGGAAAAAATCGGATCTGAGTTGTTCAGACTGCCATGAAAAGATCAGATAAAGGTCACATATGGGCAAAAAATTTGGATTTTGGTCACTTCAGGATGCAGCGTGAACGTAGCCTTAAGGGTAGATTATACATCTGCAACCGCACACAACAAATGTCGCTTGCGTCTGGTCGCAAACCAGTTTTGCTGATATGCTTCTGCACTGTCGGTCTGTCATTTCTAGTAACGCACAGCAGTTTCCCGCCAACTTCGGTGGATGGTCACGAGAACTTCTTCGGCAACGCTGGCGGGAGTGTTTATTTTCAGAAACAATGTGTGAGGCACCGTATAAAATGGTTGTACTTCCAAACCTCCTTGATCAACCTTTATCCGTTGTTATTACCCCATAGGTTTTTAAAAATGGCGCGCCCCGGCACGGAAACGAGATGGACGTACACACAGACAGCCGGAAATGCATACCAAGGACTAATCACAGCTGCTTTTTGTCTGCGCACTTCTGCTTGAGATCTGCGCGGGTTTGCGACCGTCCAAAATGTAGTCAGGATTTGTTTGAGGTGTGTGACAACAGTTGCAGAACCTCTGCGTGGGGGCCGTGGTCGCTCACAGAGACAGACTTGACGGATGCAGAGGCTATGCGTCTGAAACATAAATTGGCCTTTAGAGTTTATTGCCCCAACAGGACATTGGTCCGAACAGATTCATAGTTCTTCATAGTTCTAATCATCATCACTCACCAAAATTAATAATAACGAATAATAAGAGCTGATTTTTACCTAATGCTTTTCTCCATACCCATTATCCTGTGTGAAAGATCTTTACCTGGTGGAATAAAAATATTTTTTGCATTTAAATTAAGGATAAATTTTTTCAGGTGATTGATGTGAACTTTGATCCTCTGGTTCCACTAACACTGGATGATGGTTTCTCACGTTTAGGCGAGCCAGATGAAACATTTCTACAAAACATAAAGAGCTGATGACGCTTTAATCCTTCAATTAAACCAACAGCTGACAGAAAAAACAGGACAGCCTCTGAAGCATCTCCTCTGTCCTCATTTTCCAGCTCTGAATCCAAAAACAAATGAATTTAGAGATGCAATGATGGAGGATTTCATATCTTTGATCCCCTTTTCTCCAACAATAACATCAGAGGCGAACAGATTGTTGGTCCGTTCATCCCAGCCATATGTCTGCATTTAATGTGGATGTTAGGTTGTGAAGGATGGTTAACGTTCAAGAGTCCACAGTCAAAACAATCTGCTTTCTCTGCTTTCTCAGTAGACTATTGATACGACGACTTTCTCACGTTGTTGCAGGGATTAATCGAGCAGTCAACTGTTTAATCTCTGAGCAATTGGAGTCATCACGCTTCACTGAGTCACAGTACAGAAGAACCGACAGCCTGAGCAGGTCATGACCCAGAAGCCTCCATGAGGCAAAGCAACAGTTTAACGTCCAAATCAGCCTTTTTACAGTAGATCACAGCTGACCGACACCATCAGTCACTCTAAATACACATTGAGCTTCTTTGCATCAGCAGTCCTGAGACAAAAATGATAGAAATCAAACTAAAGTGGGTTGTTTTTTTTTAAACTTAACAAGCAGATCTCCTGCTGAAAGGCTGACTACAAACAAAACGTTAGATTAAACTAGAGGCACGATTTTCTTCTTGATTTCAGTTGATTCCATAGAATTTTAATAACAGCAATCATTTACAAACAGTTTTTGTTAAAACTTCTCAAATATAAGATTTTAGGGATATTCCCTTTAAAAACAAAACTACATGAAACCCAGAAGATCCGTTAAAAAGCTGTAGTCATGTAAAGTGAAATATTATTAACATGTTTAAAAGTCACCTCATTGTTGTTGAATGTAATATACTGTGATACTTAATTATTGCCCACCCCCCTACCAATAGTGGAGGAGACTCAGGGTCAATCAATTGTTTGCTAAATGTAAATATAAGAGCCGAGGTAAACGACCTCAGTAACAAACACACTTCGTGCACAGAGCTGCGATATATATGTAATTTCCTTGTAAATACAGACAATTTTAAATAAACAGCAGCATAAAACCATCTAGAATCATGGAAGAGTGTTTGATGTTTTAATTTTTTGTGTCCTACCATGTTTTTGGTATATTTGGTATTGGTATTTAAATTTCCAAGGACCTATGACCTTTTAAAACACATTTTAAAGGTGTAAATGCAGATATTTACCTTCCAGTTCTAGCTGACTGAATGGAAATCTTAAATATTAATAGAAGACCGACTGAACTAGACCTTCCAAATAGTACTTTTATAGACGTTGTAGGAATCCGGTCCAACTGTATTAGGATACAAAACAGGAAGGAAGCTACTTTTTGCTGCTCTTTGGCAAACAGGAGCAGGGAAATTTCACAGAAAATACAGATTAGAGTGTACTTCAGGCGCTGTGACATTCATGGACTTTCTTATAGATGCCAAGACGGCGCTATAGTAATGCAGCTCCTCTGAGCCTGCCTCCGTTTTGTTTCCTGCAGGCGACTGGAAAGCAGGATGCAGAACAATGTACGGCTCTCAGCTGAGCTACACAGAGGAACGGTTGAGTAAATATGTAGGCTACTAGGAGAGGCTGATGATTCACTGTAGATCAAAACTCACATTCAACTATTCAGACTATTTTTGTACCTTGACCATTTTATCCTCCGGCATTTCTTTGGCATCTATGGCAAGCTTTTATCCTGCGGTGGACCCATCCTGTGAGGCAGCTGAGGCAGACGGTTGGTCCCTCCATCAGCAGCCCTTCATCTCTACAGACCAACCTTTTTCTCATATGGATTCACTGGTCAAACTGGAAAGAATTAGTTTCCTTACTGGCTCAGGGAACCTCTGAATGTTTATGGAGATTTTCACATTCGTGTGACCCATTAAACGTGGAAAACATCTCTATCACAGGCTCACAGAGGGGTCTGAGTAATATGGCAAGGTGTCTTCAACCCAGACTCACAAAGTATGCTTTTAAGGAATGGACCAAATTACTGGCATCAAGGTTTATCACTGTACTGGGAGAGTTCTGCTCTAAATATTTAAAATCAGCATTTAACATTAAAAGCTCCGATATTGCAGCTTTGAAAATTGACAGATACGGATATGATAACATGAATTACACATGCTTTTATTTATTATTTATTACTGTAGAATGTTAGAAATGGCTGTTTAGAGTGATTTTACTAAAAGACAGAACAATAATCAACAATAGATAAGAGAACAACAAATATGTAATATTAGCCAATGAGTTATAAACACTTAAAACAGAAGCAAAGTGATTCTATTAGCAAAGAAAATATCTCAGATTCTAGACCACGCTGAAATAATCCGATATTAGATTTTTGGCTAATATAAAATCAACAATAGAAAGAAATAAAAACATCTGATGTTAATATGTTCATATTTTCAATAATGGGACCCTTATAGAAACGTCAAAGCTTATATATTTTAGATACCTAATTTTCCCACTAGCAATGATTATGGAACCAAAATTTTACGATCAGATTGAAATGTG